GGGCGAGCTTGATGCTGCGCTTGGTGACTGAGCGGTTGTTCCACATGTGAGTGAGCTAGTGCCCATTGTTTGGAGTGAGATTGGTAATGCTCTGGCTGATCTCTCTCATTTTTCTTATTCTTATACTGATGGTTTTGATCATGTTGTTGAGGCTTGTTCTATTGATGTGTCGATTTTTATTATGTCCAGTGATGCTTTATTAATTCATCTAGCATGTCAATCGAGGGATCATGAGGAGATGCATGATGATTGGTTAGATGATGATAATTCTTATGATAACGGGGGAGAAATTAATGTGAAATAATTGGATTCTCGGGATAATTATGATTTAAGTATTCTCCAAATTGCTAATGATGATTTCTCAAATTTGAGTGGTAAAAATAGACGTCGTAAATCTAAAAACAAATGATTTTCTCTTTGGATTTGGTCTTATTTACCATGTTAAGATCTGCTTCATTTGAGTTGGCTTCTATCTTTGGTTTGTGTTTTGTTGTCCGAACAATAATGTGGCAACTTTCTATGCTCACTTGATTGACTATGGCTTGTTGGCAACCACTAGTGGTGCTTGCTCTTGCTCTTTGGTGGCCTTTATATGGATTATGAGATTTTGATTGGCCCTTTAACGCTGTGTCGGTTGTTACTTATTTCATCCTCTGGATGGACCTTGGTGCAGATAATTTCTTGCCAATGACTGAGCTCGGCTAGTTTTTGCCCTCCCATCTTTTATTGTTTCTTTTTTGATGATTATTGCTTTGTAATTTTGGTTTGATCCTTTGTTCGATTTTTCTGTAACTTCCTTTTAGTGTTTGAAATAAAATTTTATTTTTGATATTAAAAAAAAAAACATGAGGGCATCACTTAAGATTGGTGATCTGGATCCTATCATAATGGTCACCCATAAAATTTATTCCCACATCATTCTAAAAAAAAGGAAAAAAAAAAAAAAACATTTTTAAGCAAACTAAAAATTAGGACCAAGGAGGCGATGAGCACCGTATGGCTTCAGCGACAGCCAACATTTTGTAGGGGTCTCAGCATTCTCCCGTCTTCGCTGTAACCTTCGTATCCCCCTTAATTTTCTTTAACAAATTTATGTTTTTTTTACTTTTTTTTTACTGAAATTTGCAAATATTCTACCATGATTCTCCCTTAATATCACTTATACCTAACCTTTTTCGTTTGATTCTCACTCCTTGTGCATAACCCTAGCATTGATTGGA